TAATGGGCTCTTTGTAGTAAGTCTGGCTTGTTGTGGCTATTAATTGTGGTTGTGCACTTTAGGCTGGATCTTGTGAAAACTTACATAAAACATTTCATTTTTTATACCATTTCATTTTATTTCTTTTTAATATCTCTAGGCAGCACTAGAACATATTTCATTATGTGATAACTACTCAAAGTCTTCTTTGTTCAAAGTTCCCTCTAAAATCCATTTTAAATCTAGTGATTGTTCCACTACTAAGACATGTAACTGTTTGCACCAACAAAATTAAATTCAGAGTGCCACATCTTTCCTTAGATTTATTGTGGTATAGATCAAAAATATCTCTGTCAATACTGCTTTCCCTTCTTAAAATGTATATTCTCCAGTCAGGCATTCCTTGTTCATACTGCATCCTGTTTGGGATCTAACACTCTAAGGCTTTGCTCCAGATGGGGCATTTCAGTGTTGTCATAAATGGTAGAATAAGAGAACAGTGCAGGTGCATTCCCCTTTGGCTTCGTGCCACTCTCAGTGCTACTGCCTGTGAGTGCTGGTTGGACCCAAGATCAGTAGATAATCGCTTGGAGAAGAGAATTATGGGGGAAAAAAAACCACCAGAATTCATGTGCTCTCATTGCTCTGGTGTCTTGAAGCCTCAGTGGGGAGAATGTTACTGTCAGGCATTACCTCTGGAAAAGAAAGTAGCTCTAAACTCTGCACACATCTGAGCAGGTAATGAAGGCGGTTTTTGCAAAATACAGGTGTTATGTGCAAGCAGGTACATGTTGCTGCTTCATGCATGGAATATGGCTTAAACCAATTATGTAATTACATAATGCAAGTATATGTTCAGTGCTTGCAAGCTGCTGTTCATTTTTCTACACAGTGACTCATAGTGAGAAGTCATATTTGTGTACCTCAGGGGAACAAAACTGATTACAGGATTTCAGTTCAGAAAACCTATCAGACTTTGTCTCTACTTTCCCTCTCCTCCCTCCCCCAAGCGCCCAGTATTTTGGCTGGAGATGCAATAAGAGTTTTTTATTCTTTATGTAAAAATATAGAAATCTGTTATTCTATGACATTTGTTATAAGCAGATTGCAGCTAATATTTGAATCTGGTTTCATGTATAAGTTTAAGTTTAAGGGGAGTGGAACTAGCTGAACAAAAACCATCAAAGGACAAAACAAATCATGTTTGGAAGCAGCCTCTTCTCTTAAAATGCCACCTTTTATTCACAGCCATCCTTCAGTTCCCCCTGCTTGAAATTTCTCCTTGGAATGCACTTCTTGGGAGAGATCAGTAATCCTTTGTGACACCAAATGTGT